CCTACCCAACGGGCATCCCTCGGTTTACTTGTTCAAGATGTCTTTGTCAGAAGAGAAATATCTAGAAGAAGCCGACAAGATGGATATTCTCTTCCAGCACCCTAGCGTTGAGGGTGTTTACGAGGGGAACATCCCGCTAAGCACCCGAGCAGTGCTCAAGCTCGGAAGCCATTGTACCTTTGATGAGCAGCAACGTGGTGTCCTAGGTGACGGCTTGGACAAGGGCTTTGACCTTTCAACGTTACTTCACACATCTTCTGAGCAGCCTTATCTGATGGACTCGTCATTAGTGTACCACTACCTATATCACATTGTCTCTGGAGATAGGCAAGTCTTCGCAATATTCTCGACATCCAAGAATGAGGCGCACATTATCGTTCTCAACCGCACAAGAGATGTGCAGGGTCTTCCCAACGTCGATAAGATCTACACTGAGCTTCTCACACGTAAGATGCAAGCCGCATCGGGTGATGAGTCGCAGCATGCGTTCGATTACCAGGACAAGATTCATTTCAAAACCACCCAGGTGATGACGCGAAGGAAGGCTCATCTTGAGGTTGGTGATCTGATCAGAAAGATTCGAAATGAAGAGGCTCAGCCTGCTGTTCTTGTCATTCAATCACAACAAAAAGACCGCCTGTGTCATGACATTCCGATCTTGAAGGAGTATCCAGTATTATCTGTGAAGCCCGAAGCATCGGATATGGAACTTCCTCCACTAGGTTGGCAGGCATTCGTTGCAAGACGTCTAGTCACACGCTATCTATACTTGTCTTCTTGGATTCAGCACTTGACCATGCTCGCGCGGTTCGGTGATGTTCCGCTTTGCAATCTAGAAAGTGAGGATCCTCGATACCTCATCGATATCTCGTACGCCAGACGCCTTCAACAAAACAATGTTGTGCTCTGGTGGTCATCTGGCCCGCGTCCTGATCACGCGGGCTATGAAAGGGATGACATCTTGGGCGCCTTGGACAAGGTCAACATGCCATCTGTCAATGTACCGGGTGCTTACTCCACAGTGTGCATTGAACTCGAGGTTCGCAATCTATCGATCAATACAATTCTAACATCTTCTATCATCAATGAAATGGACGGCAGTGATACGCTACTGGCTCCTTCTGGGGACGGCGAAGATACCGGTGTTTTCTATTCAGAGAAAGCATTTGCCTCTGCCGGTGTTGTCGTTCTCCGAGAGATGGTAAAACACTGGTGGACAGAGGCCTGTGCAGGGAACAACATGGCCGATATCATGGTCCAGCATCTGATCCGATGGGTGGAAAGCCCTGTGTCTTGTCTCTACGATCGGTCTCTGCACAATTACGTGCGATTACTGTCACGGAAGTCATTCCAGAGATTGATGGCAGAGTTCAGACGTGTTGGCTCGCATGTCATCTTTGCCAGCCCTACACGCCTCCTGCTTCAAACTACCAAGACCGAGGTTGGCAACGCCTACGCCTACAGTCAGTATGTCCTTAAATCAATTCGTGCCAACCCTTCATTCCACTTTATCGATCTAGAGATCAAGGAGTACTGGGACTATCTCGTTTGGTACGATGAATACAACTACGGAGGCAAGGGCTGTCGAGAGGTCACCGAAGCGGATGAACAAGATCTTGAAACAGCGATGCACTGGCAACTCAGCCGGTTTCTACCAATGCCCATGCAGACTATCTTCCACGACTGGATTGTCGAGTACATCGAACTGATGCACGGCTTGAAACGGCCGGAACCCCAAGACGGGGATCTGTCTTCAACTCCTCGGCCAACACAGATTCCCATTGGACAGACAAACGAAGCAGACGACGATGAGATAACTGCTATTCTCTCCGATCGATTCTCCAAGCCATTGAAGAAGCAAATCTCGGGATTGATCCGCAGACAACGCGACGAGATGCTTCATCCCGAGCTTGCCTCCGACTATGCCTTCCCCGTTTTGCCAGGAGTGCTAGTCGGTCCCAAGGACAAACGCAACCCGTCTTTGGAGTTGACGAAACTGCTGATGCAGGTTCTGAGTTTGTCCAAGACAACAACCCTGGAATCTCGGTTGCTGCGACGCGAGCTTCTTGCCCTGTTCGAGGTCCGAGAGTTCAGCAAGGAGGGCCGATTCGAGAACCCTAGTGCTAGCTTGAAGCTCCCGGAAATGTCCTGCAACTCCTGCTGTCTTATCCGAGATCTTGATCTCTGCCGTGACGAAGATGTGCTGCCTGATGCCAGCGCAGAAGCCAGCAAATCTACTCAGCCCTGGCGATGTCCCTTCTGTCATGCTGAGTACGACCGTTTGGCGACTGAAGAATTCCTCATTGGTCAAGTCCATGGGTTTGTTGTTGAATGGCAGACACAGGATATCAAGTGCTCCAAGTGCAGTAGTCTAAAGATCAGTGATTTCATGGAGCACTGTTCTTGCAGTGGTGCATGGACTGCGACAGTTGATCGAAAGGAGATCGAGAAGAAACTACAAGTGTTGGAGAGTGTGGCCAAATTCCACAAGCTACAACTATTGGAGCATATTGTCGGGGAAGTGTTGGAACGGTTTTGAATGTACTACTTGTTTGAATTTTTGTTTTTCTTTGTTTCGTCTTTGTTTTTGCATTGGGTTGGCGCTGAGTCGGGCAAATGTAAATAGTCAACTGGGCAGAAATGCCTCTCCAATAATCACGTCGTTGTTTATTTTTAAACCTCGGCTTTTATAATTTCCTATTTTCTTCCAAGATCCTATATTTTAATTTCTAGAATTTAAACTGTCTACTGGTTTCATCTGACGTTTCAGCCCTTCCCAGTAGCCCCGCCAGTGATTCCCCACGATCTTCGACTTCAAACCCCCCGCAGCCTTCGGAAATCATCAGAAACCCTTGGCAATACCATAAGCCATATAGCTGTCCACGGGTAATCAGCCCTTGTCGCCCAACTGTGAGTATTTTCTGCGCACTCACTCCTGGGTCTTCGCGCTAGACGACTGTGCCACTTGACCGCAAGGCTGACTTTGACTCGCGCAGGTACATAAGGACAGGCGTATATATAGCGCAACCCTCGAGTCGAAACCCCTCTAGCACTGCGCTCAGTCCTTCACCTCGTCCTCTGCATCACACGAATTCCCCATTCCCCCATAATTCGCGTCGCGCATCCCCCACTTGGTTTTATTCGCAATGGCGGCACAACCCCCGAGCGGTCAGAAGCCGAAGGTTCAACCGTGCCGATACAAGACCGGAAAGACACTGGGCGCTGGTTCGTACTCTGTTGTGAAGGAATGTGTGCACATCGATACCGGTCGCTATTATGCGGCGAAGGTCATCAACAAGCGTCTCATGTCCGGGCGAGAGCATATGGTGTGTGCTGGGAGAACCACAACTACGGGAGATAAGAGCATGGCTGACCTCTTCTGAAATATATAGGTCCGCAATGAGATCGCGGTATTGAAGAAGGTGTCGCTGGGCCACCAGAATATCCTCACGCTGGTCGACTACTTTGAGACCATGAACAACTGTGTGTTTCCCTCCTCCGTGATAGCTACAAGCGCGACCCCACTGACGAATGATGCTGTATAGTATATCTTGTCACCGATCTCGCGCTGGGCGGAGAACTCTTTGACCGCATCTGTCGTAAAGGCAGCTACTATGAGTCTGATGCTGCAGACTTGATTCGCGCAGTGCTCTCTGCCGTGGCCTATCTGCACGACCATGGAATCGTGCACCGCGATCTGAAGCCGGAGAACCTCCTTTTCCGCACGCCAGAAGACAATGCCGATCTATTAATTGCCGACTTCGGATTGTCGAGGATCATGGACGAAGAGCAGTTCCACGTCCTGACCACAACCTGCGGAACGCCAGGATACATGGCACCGGAGATCTTCAAAAGAGCGGCCACGGCAAGCCAGTGTAAGTTCAACTCATTGGCGATGGTTTCATCTTTTACTGACAACATCCCCTTCCAGCGATATCTGGGCCATTGGCGTAATCACCTACTTCCTGCTATGCGGATACACGCCCTTCGACCGGGACTCCAATCTCGAAGAGATGCAAGCTATCCTAGCAGCAGACTACTCCTTCACGCCGGTCGAGTACTGGCGCGGTGTATCGCAGGAAGCGCGCAACTTCATCAGCAGCTGTCTGACAGTCAACCCGCAGTCGCGGATGACAGCCCACGAGGCTCTCCAGCACCCGTGGGTTAATCTGGCCTCCGACAGCGGAAAGGTCGGCTCGGGCGAAGATCTGCTGCCAACGGTTAAGAAGAACTTCAATGCGCGTCGCACGCTGCATCGTGCTATCGACACTGTGCGGGCTATCAACAAGCTCCGCGAGGGAGGAGGTTTCACAATGGATGGCGCTTTGAGCGTTGATCCTAAGCCTGAGCGTGTTAATGGTGATGAGATTATCGAGGAGAAGCATCATGCTCCTCCGCCTGCGCCGGTTAATGCTGGTGGTCCGACTCAGATGCAGATTGATAGTCGTGGTAATGCGCGTGGGCAGACTGAGGAGCAGATCCGGGCACAGGAGCGGAGGGTCAAGGAGATGGTTGCTGGTTTATGGAGTCGTACTCCGCGTTAGGAGGCGTGAATATGTATCCTTCGCTTTTGTGTATGGTTGTTTCGTCCATGGGAATGTTCATATTCGGATTTGGGAGAATCACTGGCTGCTCTTCTCTGGTCTGGGAGACTTTTTGCTTTACTTGGATCCTTTTCTATGTGTCTACATATCACACCATTATCAAATACAATGAATTATGCCAGTGTGTTTATAATTAATAATTCTCGGATGATGTCTCAGTTTGAAATGCCTGTCACTATCTTTATAGGGCTGGGATGCCATATCAAATTCTCATCATGACTGCGGACGTAAGAACTATTGTCATCCCTTATTAATGCCCACGCCGAAAAGCTGTGAACGGAAAACCCACGAAAGAAACTAAAGGAGCAGGATCATCATAGTCATTACAATCATCAGTCCCACTTCAAGCGTTGGGATGTGGGACGAAAAGGAAAGCGATCTAGAAATGAATACGGATCAATCCGTGCCTTCCAGGATTTCCTCCCCATCATCCAGAGAGAGAACCCACCCTCGCCATTCCTGCCATTCCGCATAACTGGCGCTTGCCTTGAGACCCTGGTATCTGACAGTACGGAAATCCGAGACCTGATCCCAGGGCTTAGTGGCGCTGGAGTTCCCACCAGCTGCACCACGTAGCAGTCTCCGTGCAGTACTGCCACCACCATCCCAGCCCGCCTTGCGCATCAAGCTTTCCACGGTCTCTTCTTTGGTCCAGCCCTGCTCGACAGCAACGTCAGGGAGATAAGTGGCGCCATAGCGACGGCCACGGTGGATGAAGGAGATCCGCAGCCCGTGAGTACCCAGAGACCAGTCCAGGGCATTTGTACACGGCTCGAAAGACCCAAGGAGGGTGAGGGAGCATGATAGGGAGGGGAGAAGGGATTTGGGAATGGGCTCAAAACGGGTGTCATCGAAAGCCCTAAAGCAAGATCACATGTAAGTCAGTGTGATATATAGATAGGAATATACCTTTGTTTGTAGCGTAATGAGAGAGAGGGGTATTCAATGGGAACCACGTACGAGGTCAAAGCGTAGGACTTTAACCCCGCTGCAAGTTCCTGCCCCTCGAATGTGCCTATACACCCGCGTAGAGACTTGTGTCCACTTCGTGACAGGGTATTCCATGTTACGAACAAGGGATATCGCTGATCAGACGATCTCAGCTGAGGGGTTTCGGAAACCGCACTTGGCGTGGTGATATTGGTTGAGCTTGACTGTAGCGAGTTGGATGAAGTATTGGATGCGGATGACGAAGATGTGGCTGCGCTGGAAGAGGCGGAGAATTGGCTTTGAAGACGGCTGATTCTGGGCAGTTGCAGCTTCTTGGGCTGACTACTTGACTGGGTCGATTGGTTGCTATCGTCATCTTCGTCCGGTTCATTCACGGACTGCTGGTGGTCTGTATCTTCCACTTCGAGTTGCTCTTCAAGACTCGACAACTTCTTAGTTTGCTCGTGCTGTTCCCATAGGGCCTCGACGGCTGCCAGAGTGGGGGGCTCGCGATCCTCGAATGAAGCGAGCAGAGACTCAAAGCAATAGTAGCATTGTGCGGTGTTCGCCATGTCAGGCAAAATCCTGTTCTCTCTTGGTTCACCAGTGACTTCTTCAAGTACTGCACTGGTTCTGGTTCTGTAATCAAAGACAAGTTGGGGGAAGTATGTGCCCAGGTGGTCTCCGCAATGGTCCGGGGTGATAAGATACTGCGTCCTTATCGATGCTGTAACTCCAATGAGCCAATTTTAGAGGTTGTAGGAGAGTACAAAGCAGTGCAGTAACAAAATTTCAAGAGCAAGAGACAGAAAAGAAAAAGGCAGAAACAAATCAAGATGAAGACAAAAGGAAGAGACCTTGGGAGCGAGAGAGAGAACCAGGGAAGAGGTATCCGTTGCTCACGTGGGGCCCAGTAGTCTAGACTGAGGTAAAGTAAAGCATTATTACCATATAACGTCATGGTCGAGCTAACCCAATCGGGAAGTATGGCTTTACTTTCCAGTCGCGCTCCTCCTGTTACCTTTCCTTCACCTCTATCAATTGCTTTCTTTTTATGTTTCTCTACTCATCGATTTTAAAATGGCCACTCATCAACTTCAACCACCCCAAAACCTGCGGTTGAACCTCCGGATTTACCAGGATAACGGTTCTCTCCTGGCTGGTAAAGTCACGATAGCCTCATAGGAACCAGTGCGACAACTGACAGCCTTGTTATAGCCCTGGAAATTCCAACTGACGGACAAGACCAATACATTTCTCCCGAAATGCTTTATCGATACTGCTCCTTAAATATACCTTTTTCCCGACGAGAACGAGTGGGCAATTTACAAATTGCAGGCGAACGGCACAACAGACGCTGCACTCCGGCCTAACAGTCGGGCTTCAGTCGGTCCCGGCAACTACATAGTCCTTGACACAGGTATGTTTGATACGTCTAGCATAATTGTGGTTTCCAAGGCTGATAATCGCATAGATGAAAACCCCACTACTGTCGACTTAACCACTGACTGTGCTCCACGCCGCGTCAGAACCCGTGACATTAGTTCCCAATCCCAGGGTCAGAATGAACGAGAACGCTTGGTAAAGTCGACATAGAAATGGCCAGAAGCATATAATGATAGGGCTAATCATTTATATAGCAAAGGTCGTTTCGCGACAGCCTCCGCAACAGAGACAGATGTTGTGCAATTACCGGGCCATCTGCTCTAGTCAACCACAAGCACCCTTTCCAAGGTATTGAGGCTACGCATGTCTTCCCTGTAAGCATGCTGGAGGGATGGAGACGAGACGGATACCGGCGCTATATCACGGACATTCGCCCCAATAGTGAGATTAGAGAATCTAGCCTCTATTCTGCTCAGAATGGGCTTCTCCTCCGCGCGGATATTCACTCATTCTTCGATGCTTTCCAAATTGGAATTGATCCCGATGTAAGACCCTCTCTATGGAGATCTGCTATTTCGCCAATATTTACTAATGGGTCATAAACATAGGCTGATTACAAGATAATTGTATTCGGAAAGGATACTGCAGGAATGGGCGGCACTCGTCTCCAAAACTCTGCCAGAAGCGGAAACCAGCGTGTGAGCCCTGATCTCCTTCGTTGGCACCTGCGGATGTGCCTGTACAATAACCTAAAGGCCAATACCGAACCAAGGACGATGTGGGAGGAGGATCTTGAGGAAGATCCAATGGGCAGCATTCTCCTGCAGCCAGATGCGGCTGAAAGAATGGAAGTTGAGCTTTTCACTCGCCTTGGAGGACTGGTAGCATGATGCATTTAAAACTAGGCAATTGTTGGAGTAGAAATCTTGAACAGACAATGAATCTCTACGGCTATGTTCCCGTTGAAGCATGAATACTTACCAACTCCATACAACCATAGATGCCTACCCTTTCTCTACCATTTGTCTAGATTCCTAAATATAAGGAACAAGAATAGTCGGCTATTCATGCGACTTTATGGTAGCCTTTTTGAAAGCTCTTTGAGATGTACCCCCAGATATTCTGTCTTTTTTTAAAACTCATTTCCCCGCTTATCGGTGTTGCAGGTAGAATATGGGCAGTGAGAACGGCCTGCAATGTACCTTTTATGTTTAACATTTGAGCCAAAACAAGCCACTATATTGCTATGATGTTCGGGTGTGCTATTCGGCGACATCCCCAGGTATAGGGCCAAAATCAGGCAAGACTAACTAGCAAAGGCAATTAACGGCTACACAACGATATTACCTAGGTAGGAGAGAGAATAGAAAGCAGATGAGAAGAAAATAGTCCTTGGATTCTATAGATCCTTGTGTTGAGAACAGATTGTAGAATGTACATAGGACGCCCAATTAACGTTGAACTTTTCCCCTTAGAAATTCATGTGAGCCCGCTGTTGAATAAGTGCGAGGCCCAACCGCCAAAAATAACATTGCTCGTTTCACATGCAAAAAAGCATTTCCCATATCCCAATGACCCGCGTCAGGTTGAAAAAGCAGTCCGGTAATTAACCCCTAAAAACGCACCCATGTATTTTTTCTTTTCTTATACGAAATGATGTTGAACTCGTGGGATCCTGAATTCAGGATCCCTCTTTATTTTTCCGTAACTCATATGAGGACCTCAATATCCCATTTAAACGGGGAGAGGGAAGGTGCTGGCCCACTCAGCAATCTCCTTGCGGAGAGCAAGGATCTCAGGAACGCTGTCATCAGCAACCTTGGCCTTGAAGTCCTTGAGCTTGTTGGCCTCCTTGGGAAGCTCGCTCTGGATCTTCTTGCAGAGGGCGATGGACTGGTCAATGTAGCGGGCAATGCGCTTGAAGTCCTCGGAGCCCATACCACGGGAAGACATGGCGGGGGCACCAATGCGGATACCGCAAGGAGTGAGGGCCGACTTGTCACCGGGGATGGAGTTCTTGTTGCAGGCAATGTTGATCTGCTCGAGAACGGCCTCAACACGAGCACCATCGAGGTTGTTGGCGCGGAGGTCGACGAGGACCATGTGGCTGTCAGTGCCGTCCGAGACGAGCTTGTGGCCAAGAACCTTGAACTCCTCCTCGAGAGCCTTGGCGTTCTTGATGACCTGCTCCTGGTACTGCTTGAACTCAGGGGTGTCGACCTGCTTGAGAGCAACAGCCAGAGCAGTGATGGTGTGGTTGTGGGGACCACCCTGGTGGCCAGGGAAGACGGAGAAGTTGATAGGGTTCTCAAGGTCGTAAAGGACTTCCTTTCCGGCCTTATCGGTGCTGCGGACACCCTTGCGGAAGAAGATCATGGCACCACGGGGACCACGGAGAGACTTGTGGGTGGTGGTGGTCACAACATCGGCGTACTCGAAGGGAGAGGGAATGACACCAGCGGCGATCAGGCCAGAGATGTGAGCCATATCGACGATGAGGTAGGCGCCAACCTTATCGGCAATTTGGCGCATGCGCTTGTAGTCAATCAGACGGCAGTAGGCAGAGGTACCAGCGACCAGACACTTGGGGCGGTACATCTCGGCGTTACGCTCGAGAGTGTCGTAGTCGATGATACCGGTCTCAAGGTCAACACGGTAAGGGAAGGTCTCGAAGTAGGTGGAAACGGCAGAGATCTTGCGGGCGGGGGTCTGGTAGCCGTGACTCAAGTGACCACCGTGGGGGAGATCCAAGCCCATCAGGCGGTCGTGGGGACGCATGAGAGCCTGGTAGACCTGGAGGTTGGCGGGGCTACCAGAAAGGCACTGAACGTTGACGCCCCACTTGGCGGGGTCGAGGTTGAAGGCCTTGAGAGCACGCTGCTGGCAGGTGATCTCAATGGCGTCGATGTGCTGGTTGCCACCGTAGTAACGAGCACCGGGGTAACCCTCGGAGTACTTGTTGCACATGGGCGAACCAAGAGCATCGAAGACAGCACGAGAAGTGAAGTTCTCGGAGGCAATCAGGACGATTGACTCACGCTGACGCTGGATTTCCTTCTCCTGTACGAATAGACGAATTAGCACAGCTGAACTTTCTGGTGGGGACAATGCATTCAACTGCATGTCCCAATTGTATAGTTTCGACGTACCATGATGGAGGCAACCTCTGGGTCACTAGACACCAGGGAGTTGTGCATTTGCTGTAATCGATGAGTCAATGATCTATATGCTAGAGATGAGGGTAGATGTGTTACTCACGTCCCGGTGGGACTCGGAAAGAGCGTAAGACATGATGAAGGATGGTAATCTGCCTGGGAATAAACAGAAAAATTTGGATATGGAGGAGGGGAGATGAAGAGAAGGGGAAAAATTAAATGGGAGTGGTGGGGGAAGGGATCTGCCTGTTGCCTCAGGCGCTGAACTTTAACACACCGAACGATATCGGAGAGAGCTGGCCGGATTAGGGTTTTAGGTTATTAAATTTGTAACTGCGGCAAATTGATACAACTGGAGGTTCAAAACAACCTTGGAATCCCTGAATTGGCAAATCCCTTGGAACATTCGAGAAAAGATAGAAAAGAGAGAAAGAGGGAATAGATTATGAATTGTTTGAGTTGCCACAGCTAATGAAATGACGGTATGCCTTTTGCTGTCTTGAAATGATCACTAAAAAAAAAAACACCAGGGTATTTCCTTATGATAAACGCCAGATGAATTGAATTGAAAAGCATGCAGCACCTGGTTGGCTTGAGAATTCCCATTCTGAACCGGGATTTTCGAAGTTCAAGCTCCATGCTTCCAGGGTCCTCATGCTTCCACGGTCCTCGTATTGTCCTCATGTAGCGTTCCTGCTCGACTCCCAAAGTCAGAAATGACAGAGCGCAAACGTTTCACACGATCCTCCAGTTCTGAAATCTCCCTTTGTTGGTCATTAACAGACCGATGCACATCCGGTAGCCCTTCCACGACTGTACGAGCCTTCTGGATTCGAATCCTGACAGAGCTGGTTTCGGTAGGGAGGTTTTTCACATCGAGCGGTGGATGAGCGCTTGAACCAAGGACTGATACTTCTGGTACAGCATGTGAAGAGGTGGTGTTGCCATTGTGTCCACCATTAGGGATGTTTGAAGGTGTCTGTTGGGTCTGCGCCTGGGAAGCTCCTGGGACCCCTGTTGTATCCCCGGGCGCGTCCGATGGACCTGTTTGCTGACCCTTTAAAGAGAGCAAGCGAGAAATAATCCCATGCAATGGTGGGATTATCTCAAAGGTCTGTGGCGAAGGGAAAGGTACTGTTTGAGGCGCTGGTGTTGGCGCGTCTTTAAAGGGCGTCTCGGGCACAGGGGATTTCAGCAGCGGGGTGCCCACTGGCGGGGATAGAGAAGCCATTGTCGGGAATGTTGACTAAAAGGATCCCGAGGGAAGATATCCAAAGGGCGAGTAGATCCCGGCTGGGGTAAGTTTTTAGGGAAGAGTCGGAAGACACCCTGTAGATTCGGCCGCAACACATGATTATCTCAGCAAATACGCTCCTGGCACCCGGTGACGGTGACGTCGGGGCCCATGCCCCTCCTTCACCGGCGGCCTTTTTTTCTTCGTTGGTGGTCTGATTCCCCTTTCGATCTCTTCTCCTGTAAACATCTGTTTAAAGGTAAGCAGCTTTGTCGGTTTACTGTTGAATTTTTCTTGGTTTAGCAATTGACCTGTGTTCATATAATTCTAGGTGTGATTCAAATCACGATAACAAACCCCACTATGGCTGACCAAAAAGTTGCCTTGAGTATGATTGACTGCCACCCAGGTCCTCAAAAGATATGCAGGCTAATACAAGCCTTATAGTTGTGATTGATGGCTGGGGTATTGCAGGCCCCGACTCCCCACCCCAGGGAGATGCCATCGCCGCGGCCGATACCCCACACATGTCCGGCTTCGCTGAGCCCAACTCCAAGACTGCCCAGGGCTTCGCCGAGTTGGATGCCTCCTCGCTCGCTGTTGGTCTGCCCGAGGGTCTGATGGGCAACAGTGAGGTCGGTCACCTGAACATTGGTGCTGGTCGTGTTGTCTGGCAGGACAGTGTTCGCATTGACCAGACCCTCAAGAAGGGTGAGATGGGCAAGGTCCCCAGTGTTGTCAAGTCTTTCACCCGTGCAAAGGAGGGTAATGGACGTCTCCATCTTCTGGGCTTGGTCTCTGATGGTGGTGTTCACTCCAACATCACTCATTTGTTCGCCTTGCTCCAGGTCGCCAAGGACATGCAGGTCCCCGAGGTCTTCATCCACTTCTTCGCTGATGGACGTGATACCGACCCCAAGAGCGCCGACAAGTTCATGAAGCAGGTGCTTGATAAGACCCAGGAGATTGGTATCGGCGCGATTGCCACTGTCGTGGGCCGCTACTACATCATGGACCGCGATAAGCGCTGGGAGCGTGTTGAGGTTGGCCTCAAGGGCTTGGTCACTGGCGAGGGCGAGGACAGCTCGGACCCGCTGCAGACCATCAAGGAGCGATACGAGAAGAATGAGAACGATGAGTTCCTGAAGCCCATCATTGTTGGCGGCAAGGAGCGCCGTGTCCAAGGTACGTGTGGTCCAAGCCCAAAAGACAATGTCATGACAGCTAATTGAGCCTGTATAGATGACGATACCCTCTTCTTCTTCAACTACCGCTCGGATCGTGTCCGTGAAATCACCCAGCTGCTGGGCGACCACGACCGTTCCCCGCGTCCCGACTTCCCTTACCCCAAGAACATCTCCCTCACCACCATGACCCAGTACAAGACTGACTACACCTTCGATGTTGCTTTCCCCCCTCAGCACATGGGTAACGTGCTGGCCGAATGGCTTGCCAAGAAGAACCTCCAGCAATGCCACATTGCTGAGACTGAGAAGTACGCTCACGTCACCTTCTTCTTTAACGGTGGTATCGAGAAGGATTTCCCTGGCGAAACCCGCGATATGATCCCTTCGCCCCGTGTTGCTACCTACGATCTTGACCCAAAGATGAGTGCAGCTGCTGTCGGTACCAAGATGGCTGAGCGCCTTGGCGAGAAGAAGTTCGACTTTGTCATGAACAACTTCGCCCCTCCCGACATGGTTGGCCACACCGGCGTGTACGAGGCCGCCATCCAGGGTGTTGCTGCCACTGACAAGGCCATTGGCGAGATTTATGAGGCTTGCAAGAAGAACAACTACGTTCTGTTCATTACCGCCGATCACGGGTAAGTTATCCTGCGAAACAGGAACACATTTCATCTAGAGGATTGCTAGTTAACCCACATTTGCAGAAACGCCGAGGAGATGCTCAACGAGAAGGGCACCCCCCAAGACCTCCCACACCCTTAACAAGGTTCCCTTCGTTATGGCTAACGCCCCTGAGGGCTGGAGCCTCAAGAAGGGCGGTGTCTTGGGTGATGTTGCGCCTACCGTTCTCGCCGCCATGGGCGTTGAGCAGCCCGAGGAGATGACCGGTGCCAACCTGCTGGTCAAGTCCTAGATAGAGTCTTTCGTATATAAATGTTTGATTATGAATCAATGAATAGAATTTTGTCAATATACACATGATCCTTCCTTTCACTTTTATAGTATCAAAGTCATCCGTCTTCTAGCTGCTTTGGGATACTTTCAAAGCCTTCTATATTTGATGCATATACGTCCTTGATGGGAAGGTATTATTCAAAGATCGAAGGCATAAAGCAACATTAAGAAAAGACTTGGAAGCCCAATTGACCACTTTTGATAGCGTTGCATTAAAATTTCGAGGGTATATCTTTAAACTGATCCATGCGCTGTTCTGGTGTCAGGCACCTGCACAGATCATACATTTCCTCCAAGCTACCCCAACTCAATTGGGATTTTATCAATGCTCAAGCATTCTTCGAGATATCGTGCCGCCAAAAGAGGGTTCACAGATGCATAATGCATGCACTGAATCACAGTGAACCAGTTGAGGGTTGGTCCCATCCGACGTCAGCTTCATAGCTCGCACGCCACCTATTACATCTCCGGGTGATATATCCTTCTTCGCCTGCGGGTTCGGAGAGCTTTCGAGTTTATGCGGAGGCTGAAGCGGCAGCAGCCTGCTGTTGGACCTGGCTTTGGAGTTGGATGAGCTGGGTGAGGGGTTAGTATGCATATATGGTGGGGGTGGTGTTGTAGTTGGATGAGGGCGGTTTACCTCTGAGCGCATCTTCTCGCTCTTTTCTTGTGTCGCCTCAATCTCGCCTTCAATTCGCTTGCTGTAGGTTCTCAGTCAGCACATATTTTCGTTGGTTCACAGTGGTCAAGACAATAGCACTAACATCTCCTTCTCAATGAACTCCAACCGACCGTTGACGGCCATAGTGGCTTCAGTCTTATCCTGCTTCAGCAACACCGGGCCAACGAGCTTGTAAATGTTTGATTCATCGTCCAGCTGGGCGAACTCGGTCTGTACACCTTCGTTCTCTTGCTGCTGCGATTCGAGTTTCTGGCGGGCGTCGACCAGAACCTCAAGCTCTGGAAGTGCGAGAAAGATCAGTAGCTATTGCTATGATTAATTATATATCTAGACATACCGGTCTGCAGTCCCTGGAACTCTTCCGAGAGTGCTTGAAGCTGTTTCTGGGGGTCCATGGTGAACTTGGAGGTGAAGTGGGAGGAGGGAAAATCAATGGCTCCCGCCCGTAAACAACTTCCACTCTCACTTTCCCCTCCAATTCCCATCAACCCTCGGTTCTAGGGCTGTTTTTTACCTCTTTTCTTCTACAACCAAAGAATCTTCAAGTTTTCTCTTCTACCAACTCGTTGCCTATCCCTCCAGCCTTGGCCCATTGCCCCCCAACCCTTGCTCCCCTCTCCCCGCTTTATCACATCTGCCTCCGCGGTCGACTTGCTCCTTCTACCCTAGACAGCACACGAATTGCCCATCATGAGTAATACCGATTTTCTGGGGCGGGCGATCGATACGGTCAAGAAGGCGATCGAGAATGACAACGATGGCGAGTACGAAAAGGCTTATCAGATGTACTACTCCGCACTCGAGTTGTTCATGCTGGCCTTGAAATGGGAGAAGAACCCGAAATCAAAGGAGATGATCCGCTCAAAGGCCGGCGAGTATATGGATCGCGCTGAGAAGCTTAAGAATCACCTGGCCGAGGATCGGAAAAAACCAAGTGCGGTTGGCGCAAATGGAAAGGTGGCGCAAGGCAGTGGGAAGGGAGGGTATGTACTCGAGTTCTTTTGACAAGAGCTTCTCGCTCTAGCAACCCCCATATGTGTGCTAGACAGTGTTAGCGAGTGAGCTATTGTTCTGTGTTATCCCCGCTAACAACACTGGATCGCACAGAAAGGAAGATGACGATAACGGCGAAGATGCAGAAGCGAAAAAGCTTCGATCGGCGCTTCAAGGAGCTATTCTGTCAGACAAGCCGAACGTGAAGTGGGAGGATGTTGCTGGCCTGGAGAACGCAAAGGAAGCATTGAAGGAAGCTGTCATTCTTCCCATCAAGTTCCCTCATCTGTTCACTGGCAAGCGCCAACCCTGGAAGGGTATCTTGCTCTACGGTCCTCCAGGAACGGGAAAATCTTATCTTGCCAAAGCCGTGGCAACGGAGGCAAACAGCACATTCTTCAGTGTCAGCAGTAGTGACCTGGTTTCGAAGTGGATGGGTGAGAGTGAAAGGTAGGGCAATGTCTTCATCTACAGGAGCTTCGAGAGCTGCGTACTAATTTGCGTCTAGACTCGTGAAGCAGTTGTTTAACATGGCTCGTGAGAATAAGCCTGCCATTATCTTCATCGACGAGGTCGATGCGCTGTGCGGACCCCGTGGTGAAGGAGAGTCCGAGGCCTCACGACGTATCAAAACCGAATTACTTGTACAGATGGACGGTGTCGGCAAAGACTCGAAGGGTGTTCTGATTCTGGGCGCAACCAACATTCCCTGGCAACTGGATGCTGCTATTCGACGACGATTCCAGCGAAGAGTACACATCAGTCTTCCTGATTTCAATGCACGAATGAAGATGTTCATGCTAGCCGTGGGCTCAACGCCATGCCAGATGACCCAGACCGACTATCGCCAATTGGCCGAACTAAGCGAGGGATACTCCGGTAGTGATATTAGTATTTGCGTGCAGGATGCACTGATGCAGCCAATCCGCAAGATTCAAGGAGCAACACATTATAAGAAGGTATGTATACTCAGTCCTCGCCATTCCAATCCACAGCGACTAACTCGGCTCTGTTACAGGTACTCGACGAGGGTGCAGAGAAACTCACGCCTTGCTCACCTGGGGATGCGGGCGCAATGGAAATGAGCTGGCTCGACGTCGATGCGGATAAGCTTCTGGAGCCAGCTCTCACTCTAAAGGATTTCATCAAGGCAGTGAAGAACTCTCGGCCAACCGTTAGCGGTGAGGATCTCACAAGGAACGCTGAATGGACTCAAGAATTCGGTAGTGAAGGCGCATGATCGTATCTTCCGAACTGATCGATATTCTTCACATCATGGCCTCCGAAATGTGAATCTTTCTATCTCAGTTGATCGACAGTATAAAATCCCGGCTCCTTGGCTTGTTCCAGGGAGGACGAGAGCTGAATATCTCATGCCCTTGCTCATAGTCTCTATTTCCCCCTATGCTTTATCTATGTCCATGTCAATGCTTGCTTCATTTCGGATTCCTGTGGTTTTTGGTGGGTGTCTCCGAAGAGTTTGGTGTTTAGAAGCGTTTCTCAATTACTCTTGGCAATGGCCGGCGTTGGCTGAGCAAATATTTTCATGTGTCTATCCTCGCGAGTGTCTCCGTTATCGGAAAGCGTGAGTAGCTGCATACATGCTGCTTTGAAGACTACTAGCACAAACTTGTATGGTTTTCGCCGTAGCTTGTAGGTATAATTAATGCCAATCAAGGCTCAATTTCTGTACTGACAGATGCTACGTAAATTAATAATTGTTCTTGACTCATAAAATTCCTCGCTAGGATGACACTATGCACAACGATTTGAACAAACTGACACAAAGCCAGCCCTAGAACGCCTCGATAAAAATGAAGGTAGACATAAAAACACGAAACAAGTTGGGGGGAAAAAAGCTAGTATACTTGCAAGACATGTCGGGGGAATCTCTCATGACAGAAGGTCGACGCTGGAAGAACAAGAGACAAAATCACGAATGACATAAAACACAGCTCCGATCCATCTACTGGCCAAGCAAGCTCTTGTTCGAGCTATCACGACGCTTAAGCATTTCAGTCTTAGCACGCTTCAAGCCCTCGCCCAGTTTCTTCGTCCGCTTCCAATCACTGCTCATCTTTTGCATGCGAACAGCGGCCCTCACAAGAGATATGGCGGATTTTAATTTATGACGGGGAGTGCGGACAGGAGCTCGGTCACGGGCCTGCACACCCATCTCGGAAATCATACGGAGATCGGCATCGTTGCTGTTGGTAACGTGTTAGCTATATTGCAAGTAGTATTAGATAGAAATGGGGGTACGAACCATGCAACTCGGACACGTTCACCAAGTTCCATCAACCCCTTGCTCCAGGCAAGATCACGGCGGAACTTTTCTTCACGCTGTAGGCGAGCGCGAAGCCAGATGATTTCCTTGCCCAGACCTCGGATCTCTTTTTCATGTTTGGTCTTGTTGGTTGACTTGGAAAGGGAGGTTTTCTCGAGGATTTCGTCGTGGCGTCTTTGTAACATATCGAGATTTTTGGTTACTGCTTCAGCCTCGCGTTTGTGGGCATCTCGTTCTTCGCGAATCCGGCGCACATGTGACTTCAATTCGTTCAGGCGTGCTTCTCGTTCGGAGAGTTTTAGGGCCAGTGATTCGGCTTCGAGGGTCGAGGACCTAAGAAGCTCATGGAAGTCCTTTTGGTCCTCTTCTTTCATCGCGGCATGTTCTAGCTCTCGGTTCTTCGTGTTCACCTTCTGGAGGGACCGGTGTGCTTCAGCCACTTGTTTTCGTAGACTGCGTAGCTCTTCATGAAGCTTGTTTGATGGAGAACTTTGTGGGGAGTGGGACTCGAATTTGTTCATCATCGCATCATGAAGATCCTTTTCCAATTCCTCAACTCGGGACTTGTAGCTTTGCGCAGAAGACTTCTGCTTGGATTCACGCTGGAGGAGAATCTTTTCGCGTTTCCTAGCCTCCTCCAGGCTGTGTCGAAGTAAAGACAAGTCACCATGTGTGCCAGATTGTTCATTCTCTGTTACAGGCTGCTGTTGTTGCTCAAGAAGAGCTTCCAGTTCTTGGGCGCGACGCTCCAGGCGCTGTACCTTTGTCTTAGCTGAAGTGAGTTCTCGATCTCGGTTACCCGAGCCAGCAAGCAATTTGTCTTGAAGGCGGTCGATTTCAGCCGAAAGACGACCCTCCTCTGCTACAAACCGCTCACTTTCTGAGACAAGCTGGTCCTCAAGGGATGCTTTGGCCTCTCGCAGTACTTTGAGTTCGTTGTCAAGCCTTGTTACAGTCTTGCGTAGTTCAAGTTTGTCGCGGTCAAACCGGGTGGTGT